GGACGCTTCCATGCATGATCCTATAGAAAATCACAGTGTTCTACATAACAAAGCATAATTAAGCTTCCCATTGAAGGCATCAGCAGCTGGTTATCCACTGGGAATGAAAGTGGGAGGAAACACGAATATATTAATTTGGGAGTAAAAGTTTCTGTTTTTTTGTCCTTTATTGGAAGTAAGGGTGAGAATGGGTAAAGGGGTGGAATGGATCAGTGATGGTGCGGGGTGAATAAAAGGGATTCAGATAGACTTTTTTTTCGATGTCTGCCACCTGAATGATATTTGCTCTTCCACTTCCAAAGAGATACTTGTCATGGATCAAGAGTTTATTTGTATCCATTTGACCTTCTGGATCAGGAGGGGAGTGAGCTGTAAGCAGAGAGCGCTGATGCTAGAATGACGCGTTGGGCTGACGCGTGTCTGTCCTTGCTCTCTCTGTTCTGTACAGAATCCAGGCAGAGGCCCGGGTCATCACACAGCAGGGCTATGATCTCTTTGTGGCCCTCCCTAGATGTGTCTGCTCTGGAGAGGTCACACAGGGCTCTCTGGCCCTTATGTCTGCAGCTGGGCAAGTGATGAGCAGCAATCAAATCATTTCACAGCAGCCTAGAAACCCCACACATTATCCACCCTAATGGTTGCAGGTTAACAAATAAACAGCCTGAATGCCACTTGGCCATTGTTACAGCTCCATTCACAGGCACTGGGGTGTGAGACATACAGTATTCAAAGCCATCTAGTTAAAATGTGTAACAATTTTTCTACAAATCTGCAGGAAGTAAAGCATAAAACCTATGGCAAAAAAAAAACAATTCTCAGCTGAAAGCGCTATTTATAAAGTTCATTTAATTCTTGTCAAGATGCAGTATGACTGGGGACATGAATATACTGCCATTGATGTTTCCAGGGAAGCCTGCAGAGAGGTGTCAGACTCAGTAATTTAGCCAATTAAAGTAACCACCTAAAGAATAGGATTTAATCCTGTGCTATATGTACAATGATACAGTGATGCTTGGGGTACCTTTAAGAGCTTTGTGAAACTATCCTGAGTTTTCACTATACTGGGATTTTAAATTTGTTTTGGGGGGGATTCAAAGTAAATTTAAATTATAGGCCAAAATAGCCAAGCTGAAACTTAGATGAGTTATTGAAAATATCCAGTTCAGCTTTTTTGGCCTAAAATATTAAGTTAATGTTGAATTGTCAGTTGTTCACAATTAGATAATATCCTCTGTAAATTGAACTTTAATGACATGTCAGAGGCTTCTGCAGAGTCTAACAAGCTAGTATAAAGCAGGAGATAAGAAATTCTAAATTAAACAGAATTTGAAATAAAGGAAGTGCAAACATTAGATGACTCTTTACAGGAAGTGTTTAGGAAGGCTGTGTAAGTCACATGCAAGGAGGTGTGACTAGGGCTGCATAAACAAAGTGATATAACTCCTTAATTAGCAGAGAATTGAACAGTGATACTGCAGGGGCATAATCTATACACCAAAACCTCTTCATTAAGCTAAAGTTATTTTGGTTATTATTTACTATAGTTGGTTATTATTTATGGTTTATTATTAACTATAGTGTCCCTTTAAATACATACATAAGTAAAAATACTTTTTTTTGTCCCATATTGGAATAATTTGGACTACTTTTGGGTTAAGCTGCTCGTAAATGGTTTAACCTCTTAAGGTAAGCTATACCCAGGACCTCCAGACATTATAACAACTTCATGGAGATGGTGCCTTGAGTGTTCCTTTACAAATGGTCTCTGTTGACTTCCCTCACTGCTTGAAGCTGTCATGGTAAAGCAGAAGCTTCCGCATCATAATGTCAACTGATACCAAGTCAGCTGGTTGGTATCCCTGGATAGCTCACCCACTCATTTACCCCCTGTCCAAAGCACCCTGATTGTCCATATGGTATTCAATTGGCACCCGGTTAAAGGTTTTGCTAGCTGTGGCTAATTTTCGATTGGGTGTATAGTTCCACGTGACCAGCTTTGAACCGCCAAGTCTCTCTCTGGTGTTTTACGTAGTATTTTGGCAACTGAATAGCAAGAATCGTGGGTGCTCAGATAGACTGTGCCCACTAGGTAGGAGCTGGAGCACCAGGGTTAGGCAAACATGACTTTTTAGTTATATAAAACTGTCCTCAGTAATACAAACCCATCAAAATTTTCCTTCATACTCACATACTTATTCCCTTACCTTGTAAAAATGTTGTGTGTGTGAGAGGGGTTGGGTGGCGGGGGGATAGGTTGACTATTTAGTGCCAAAGTTTATGGAGAGCTACCTACACTCTGAGGATTGCTATAATCACTATACTCCCCAGAGTATAATCACTAAACTCTTGTAAGAGCTGTTCCTGCTCTATGGACTAAGAGAGATCTGTCTACTGGAAGCTGTATCCCTGTCTTAGGTCCAGAGTGGGTGGAAGACTTTGAGATCCCAACCAAGCTGCGGCAGTTCGTGGGGTCTGTGGTGGTTATGGTGTCTAGTGGAGTGCTTGGAGCCCTCGGGAAGCACTAGGAGCATCTGTCAATGGAGGTACCCAGTCGGGGTACCAGGCGATCCGTTACAACAGTATTATAGTAAAGGTCAGTTCAAGATGGCTAAATCTGACTTTTTTTCAAACACTTGGATATAAAATTATTGTCTCACATACTTGGCTATGAATATGGGTCATATGCAAGCACCAGTCTTCAAATAGATTCATCCAAATGGCCTCTTCCTACCAACTGTTCTTTTTGCAAATCACTTAAAAAGATGGACCTATACAGGATCCCAAGGAGATATTGACAATCCTGTCCTTTTAACTTGTGGGTAAAATGTGACTGTGCACAAACACTCATTAGCAGATAAGACAGAATCCATAAATTCTGTAGGGTTATAAATCAGTCATATTTGAGATTTGGATTCAGCTATAAAATATAAGGGATCCAAAGCTCCCTCTACCAGCAAGTTACACAATAACAGTCACATGTAGCAGGGCAGGTATACTACCTTTATATCTCAGGCATTCTCAACACACCTTCTTCACAGAAAGACTGTGATTTACAGCAGACACATTGCCGTACAGCCATGGAAAGTTGCAATGCTTTCTATGAAACTGGAATTGGTGTGTTTGACAACCAAGCAGGACAGTTCAACCAAATGCCTTCATGTCTATACAGCATACCTTGCTCTGGTCAGCAGAATTGGGAGATGACACTGGTACACACCAGAGACAATGACAAAGTAACAGATTGTTTATATGATCCGTGTTCTGTTCCATTCTATAACAGTGCACAGTCTGAGATTGCTCACTTTCTTCCTGTCACTCAGACCTCAGCAACTGTTGAAGAGGACTCTGAAAGTTGTCATTATCCTTGGATGAAATCAACTAAATTCCATCCCAGTAACATCAGTGTGAACTGGGAAGGTGAGTAACTCTTTGCTTTATTCGTTTTTATTAATGCTATTGCATGGTGGTAAAAAATATCCTGCTTTTTATTGCTCAATCACTCATCTGAGAGTTTAGAAAAAAAATTTAAAAAGTTTTTAGTTCAATTTTACACTTTTTTGATGACAAACTTCTAGGCTGGGATATCCAGTGTGTTGATGTTCTACACTATGTAAATTCTGGACCTTGCATTTTTCTATATATCACAATTATACAAGAAAATGTAAATTACATTATTTTGAAAACGTTTCCCCACTACATTGATCCATTTAAGTATTTGCTATAATTAAATAAATACATATGGTAAATAGAGATGGATAAAACGTGTTACACAGTTTTTGTGTAATTTAAATTCAGAGAAACAAGACAATGTTTTTAAAGTGTATCTAATTTGTCTTTTTATTTTATATTCTTTTTTTTTTTTTTAAGTGCACATCTTAACAAACAGAATACATAGACGATTCCTCATGAGCATACTCAACAAACATAAGGTGGAAACATAGTACGAAATGTTATGAAATACTGCACTTTTTATATTTATGGAAACAAAACAATAGCTAACAGGTATAGCTGGCATGTCTAGATGTTTCTAGCTGGGAAGACATCTTGTCAGAGGGGAAATGCTGGATATTATGAGTGATAAACATTTATATTCTTAGGCAAGCTATCTCTAGACATGATGATAAAAGCTGACGAGTAGTGCTGGTTATGATTAAGGAAACAAGCTAGGCGACAACAGTATTACTGACTATGCCAGGCTTTGAAAAGTGGGGTGAGTTATTCTATATTCAGGCCAGTCATGCAATAGTATTTCTACTGGTACTGAACCTAAAGCTCAAGAAAGTCGCGCATATCACTTACATAAAAACATATTGAAAAATCATTGAGCAAAATAAACAGCGTAAAACAAAATGGAATCCGGGAACCTCTTAAAGACTCAGTCACTGATAGCAGGCCTGCATTCAGTATAGACTAAAGCATTAGCCAACTCCCTTGGTTGGCATTCGTGGTCGATTTTGCAGCAGTCCACAGGTCCAAACAACAAGCGACGATATTCAAATGCTTTCCCTACAACCTGCTGTGCTCACGGGCTTATAAAGGGAGATGGATTTCAGAGACGTTCTGCTTGGTTTGGAAGTCCCTGAGTGAGGAAAGGGAATCAGCCGATGTCCCTTTGTGAGGCAGGGTTTCCAAGTGCCGCAGATGGGTACCGTTTCCAGGCGCACTGGAGAGACAGCCTGTCAGGGCTGTGTAGTGGATAGGATCATGCGTACTCCAGTAGAGGCCCTTGTTCTGCTGGGGGGGTCAGTGCATGACAGGTGTTGATTCCGGCGCTTCTCGCCAGCATGGTGCGTTGGCCATCTCCTCTGCCGGGCGCAAATGCGGCGTGTGTGTCGAGGGTTCCCACCTCCTCCCCTGCAGCTCCTTGAGGGTACAGGAGGGCTTCTTTGCGGTTCAACTTCTTGGGCCCCCCTTGGTAACTCCAGAGGGGGATGAGCAGGTGTGTGGGTGCTCCTTTTGGTGGGACCAGCTTCTATGAACCTTTGGGCATGGTCTGCTCGTTGCCTCAGTCGTTCCCAGAAAGCTTCACAGATTGTGTCAAATGCTTCCAAGAGGCATAGGTTCAGGGGCGGACTGAGAGCCTTTGGGGCCCCCGGGCAAAATTAGATCCCAGGCCCTCTGAAGGCCAAATATATGTGCATTAAATAAATGTTAAATATAATTCATAATACGGCATTCCTTTGGATGTGTGTATTGTGAAGACCTGTGTATCAATGCATGTTTGTATTTGAGTCTGTGTGAATGCACTTGTGCATATCTGGATGACTAAATGTGCTTTTTTGTATATAGGGTCAGTGTGAATGCATATGACAAGTGACAGAGTGTGTGAGGGAGAAGGTGACAGGTGGAAGAGTGTGGGAGGTTGTGACAGGTGGCAGAGTGAGGGAGGGGTTGAGTGGTGGCAGAGTGAGGGGGAGACAGTGAGTGGGTGTGACTGGTGACAGAGTGAGGGAGTGGGTGACTAGTGACAGAGGGAGGGAGATAGGGGTGACTAGTGACAGAGTGAGGGAATGGGTGACTAGTGGCAGAGTGAGGGAGGGAAGAGATGACTAGTGGCAAAGTGAGGGAGGGAAGGGGTGACTAGTGACAGAGTGAGGGGGGTGACTGTCACTAGTCACCCCATCCCTCTCTCTGTCACTAGTCACTCCCTCCCTAACTCTGTCACTGTGTCACCCGCTCCCTCACTCTGTCACTGTGTCACCCGCTCCCTCTCTCTGTCACTAGTCACCCCATCCCTCTCTCTGTCACTAGTCACCCCATCCCTCTCTCTGTCACTGTGAAGGAAGGAAGGGGTGGCTGGTGACAGAGTGAGGGAAGGGATGACTAGTGGCAGAGTGAGGGAAGGAAGGGATGACTGGTGACAGAGTGAGAGAGGGGGTGACTAGTGACAGAGTGAAAGAGGGGGTGACTGTCACTAGTCACCCCATCCCTCACTCTGTCACTAGTCACCCCCTCTCTCACTCTATCACTAGTCACCCCCTTCCCTCTCTCTGTCACTCCCTCACTCTGTCACTAAGGACAGAGGGGGTGTTTAGTGACAGAGTTAGGAGGGAGTGACTAGTGACAGAGAGAGGGATGGGGTGACTAGTGACAGTCACCCCCTCCCTCACTCTGTCACTAGTCACCCCCTCTCTCACTCTGTCACTAGTCACCCCCTTCCCTCTCTCTGTCACTCCCTCACTCTGTCACTAGAGTGAGGGAAGGGGGTGACTAGTGGCAGAGTGAGGGAAGGAAGGGGTGACTAGTGACAAAGTGAGGGAGGTGGTGACTGTCACTAGTCACCACCTCCCTCACTCTGTCACTAGTCACCACCTCCCTCTGTCACTACTCCCTCCTTCTGTCACTAGTCACCCCCTCCCTCACTCTGTCACCTGTCACCCCCTCACTCTGTCACTAGTCACCCCCTTACTCTAGTGACAGAGTGAGGGACGGGGTGACTAGTGACAGAGTGAGAGAGAGGGTGACACAGTGACAGAGTGAGGGAGGGGGTGACTAGTGACAGAGTGAAGGAGGTGGTGACTGTCACTAGTCACACCCTTCCCTCCCTCACTCTGTCACTAGTCACCACCTCCCTCTGTCACTACTCCCTCCCTCCTTCTGTCACTAGTCACCCCCTCCCTCACTGTGTCACTAGTCACCCCCTCACTCTGTCACTAGTCACCCCCTCACTCTAGTGACAGAGTGAGGGACGGGGTGACTAGAGACAGAGTGAGAGAGAGGGTGACTAGTGACAGAGTGAGGAAGGGGGTGACACAGTGACAGAGTGAGGGAGGGGGTGGCTAGTGACAGAGTGAAGGAGGTGGTGACTGTCACTAGTCACCCCCTTCCCTCCCTCACTCTGTCACTAGTCACCCCTTCCTCACTTTGTCACTAGTCACCCCTTCCCTCCCTAACTCTGTCACTAGTCACCACTTCCCTCCCTCACTCTGTCACTAGTCACCCCCTCCCTCATTGTCACTAGAGTGAGGGGGTGACTAGTGACAGAGTGAGGGAGGTGGTGACTGTCACTAGTCATTACCTCCCTCCCTCTGTCACTAGTCACCACCTCCCTCTGTCACTACTCAATCCCTCCTTCTGTCACTAGTCACCCCCTTTGTCCCTTACTCTGTCACTAGTCACCCCCTAACTCACTCTGTCACTAGTCATCCCCCTCTCTCACTCTGTCACCAGTCATCCCCCTCTCTCACTCTGTCACCAGTCATCTGCTCACTCTGTCACCAGTCACCCCTTCCTTCCCTCACTCTGCCACTAGTCACCCCTTCCCTCACTCTGTCACCAGTCATCCCCTCACTCTAG